TTAATGAAGCAAACAAGCTGAAGGTCCTATATTACCTTCTTTGCTTTGTGGCAAAAGTAGGGTTGCTAAATCTCAAGTAATCTACTTACAACTATTTCTTGAAGGACTTTTAGTAAAATTCTTGAAAGAAACAGTGAGAATGGAACCAACAAATATTTAGAATTAAAATGTATAATTTGAATATCAAACTCAGATATTAAGGAGAAAGTTGGCGAAAATATTGCAAATCTTGCTACTGTTTTCTACAGTAGAGAGATCAGAACAGTTCAAGGTCCTTAGTTTCATGCACATACACTGAAATAATTTTAGGTTCTTTCTGTCTCAAATTATACTTTATTCCATCCCACAATCCAATTGGTATCATCAGTTTGGTACTGGTGCAGTCGAATGGAATTGATGACACAGAAGGATCCTTGCCCAACCCAAACAAGTCTATGTAATCAGTTTTTAGCTAACACAGATTTTCCTACCTCTCTGCTAATCCTTGCTATGCAGGATATGTTCCTTTCTTAAGGGAAGAGATATTCCTTACATTTTAAATAACACAACACTTTGAATGCAAATAAAATGACTAATGCTTCTTTAAGCTCATAGTGGTTCCATGCAGTAACTTAAATGAGAGGCTGTTAGTTCATCTGTGACTGAAAACTAAAACCAGACAGATTAGCTTTGAGTTATGATCATGGTGGGGAATACATTTCTTTTTCAATTGCCTTCTTTTAAGCTCCTATTTCAGCTGTTTCATTATATTAGGATTTTAGAAAATGGTTGCCTCTAATGTCTTTCTAAAAAAGTCTTATTGAGTAAGAGGGAAGGAGCTGATGTTATTTTCAAATGTGAAAATCTAGCTAAAAAGATGAAACATGAGTTTGCTAGGGACAATTCTTAAGCCCCACATGGTCTTCTACTCCCTCTTCTGTCAAAGGGAAGCCAAATTTGAAAAACAGCTACAACAAGAAAAAGAGATATTGGTCTCCTTATTCTTCTTTTTGAGTCTTTGCATGAATTTAGGATTAATGAGTTAACGTGAGGTGTCTGCTGTTCACTGATTTCTGGGTGTACATGAACATCCTGGTGAAACAAATTCATAAATGGAATTTGGCATAAAGATACCAACAGTGTGAGTCGTAAGGGGCTTTATTAGGAAACAGACAGCTAGATATCCAGCTTGGTCAGGACAGGACAACTGTATGCAAGCCAAGAAACAAAACTTTATATGTGTAAGGAAGTTTTAAAAGGAAAATGCCATGTATTGCATTTCAACTCATAAATGCATTTTTTTTTACTGTAAAGAGCTTCTGCTCTGAGAGTTCTGGCAGTGGAAGTGTGCTCTGAATCCCACTGCTGTTGACTCCCGAGTCAGCTGGAATGCCTCCACTGCTGTCAGTGAGAGAGTGGGTAAGCTGGATTGTCCAGAATGTTTTAAGAGTGCTCTAGACACCCCACAAATTTCTTTAACTGATAAGCAGTGTGAATGCTCAGTGCCTGACAGAAATTCCTGAAAATGTTCATCAGGACTAATAATGTCAACATCTTTCCACTCTACAATATGCCTCAACTGTAACTGTTGGGGTGACTGCCCTGCCTTAACCCCCAGCTGTTAGGGCAAGTGCCAGACCTGTATGGCCTTTGCTTGGACTACTGGGACTACCAAGTACAGAACTTTGGAGCTCACAAAGTGAATCAAACTTCATTTGTTGTATTATAAAATCTGAGTCTTGGATACATATCTGGTATCAACTTTATTGGTTTTATCAGGGATGCAGATATCTATCTACAGGACTCAGATAAAAAAACAGCCATTAGATGAGTGTAAGTTTTGATTCTGACTAGCTTTGTTTTTACTTAAAATTAAATAATGAAGTCTGGATAGTGTCAGTCTGGAGGGCTATTCAGTCTCCTGAGCTGTTACCTTTGTTGCACGCAGCTGATCTGATTCCCACCTAAACCCAGGGAAAGACTGACAGTGTCTTCTGTGAAAGATGAACTAAATCCTTTCCAAGCTTTCAAATGAAACAAGACACAATGCATGTGATTCCTCTCACATTATTCTTGATGATTCTTGAATTCAACTAAGTATCAGTTTAAAATCGTGATTTTTAAACATTTTAATGTATTCAACACATTCTCAAAGGGCTGCCAGGAAAAATGGGGCATATGGGACAGCTAAGCCCTTCTGGAGTGTCAGTGCCCTTCTGCAGACCAGAGAGAATGCAGCTCAAATGGCAATAGATCCATATGTGTAAGACTGGATTGAGTCATAAGTAGTTGCAGTGTACATGTCCACATGCAATTTAGGTGTCCAGGCTAATCTTAATATTAGTAGAGTTAGTATATCAGTAAAATACTGATTTCTCTAATCTGAAAGTAGACACCCACATTTGATGAAATGAATTGCACCTTAAATTCCACCGAGGAGTTATGAAATGAACTAAATGCTTTGCTCGTCTTGAAGAGCCTTTGTCTTGTGGCTGATAACCAACACTGTGCTGAAGTTTTCATTCCTCTGCCAGTGCCGTCAGACTGATACATTAGGGTTTTCTCTCCTCAGGGAACTGTAGTGGCTCTTCAGCTCATATGATTTCCTGTATCTCTTGCAAATTGAGTAAAGCTGTTTCATTTTAACCATAGAGTTAGATACATAAGAGGAAGCTGTCAGATTGAAGAGACAGACTTTGCAATAAGGCATCTAAGTTCCCAATACATTTTGCCTTTTCACTAGCTAACTCAGTTTGATATCTCTAATTGTGTCTTGAAAGCTGTATTTGTATTTTGGAAGTTGTACGTATTCTGGAAATTTTAGCCTGCCTGTATAGTAAAGAACCTAGTTATCAGCTGTTCATTTCAAGGTTTCTTAAATTGTATCTTCAAGTCAAACACTATACAAACATTTATTATGATCTCTCCAGATGTTGTAAAGCAATGCAGGCTCTGAGTTCCTAAAATCTTAATGGGAGATGTGATCTCAAAGAACTGACAGATGCTGCAGTGAAAGGGTGGTAGTGCTTCAGAAGATGACAGTCTTCCCTCCAAGTTAGCATCAAAACAGTGTCTGATGTGCTTCAAAGAGGCACCGTACTGCTGAGAAAGACAAACCTGACTCTTGGTGGCTTGTGGTCAATTAAAGATCTCATGGAACATTTCACAGGGGAAAAGACATTAACCTCAGTGTCCTGGCCAGATTATACACTATTATTAAAAACAAGTTTAGAACATTTTGGGTCTAGTTTTGTGGAGTTTGGTGCCAGGATCTCTTCTGGTGTCCTTTGAATTCACATGAGCTCTACCAATGAAAAGCTGCATTACACTTGGCCCTAGGTTCAACTGCCTTCTAGATTTGCTGTCAGCTGTGCATTGGGAAACCTGCAGCAGATGGACTTTTGTTCTGGTTTGGTTTTGATGCTGTCAGGTGAGTGGGAGTTATTTGAACTCTGAAGACAGAAGTGGAAAGCAAAAAGCAACCCAAATCCCAAGTGATTCTGTCCACAAGCAGATGTTTTTAGACCACTACTATTAAAAAGTCTTTATAAGAAAACATTAACTGCAATAGAAAAACATATTTTTGGCACTTAGAAAAGCGCATTACAAAAATGGGGAAAAAACCTTTTAGTATTACTAAATCATATTTACCTACTAAATATTGATACCAGATGAGTTGCTATTTGTTGATAAAAACATTTCAACATAATAAATGCTTTAATCTAAAAGTTTTTTTGAAACATATTATAAGATGGGGAATACTTAACAGGAGAAAAAATAGGAAGGACAGGTTGATTTACATATGAAAAAGTGAAATTTTTGAAAACATCTTGAGTATGATATGCAGGGAGAAATACTATCACAATTCACAGGGTTGGTTATACCCTGTGGACTGGGTACAACAGAGAGACTTGACTGTCTGCAGTCCCAATCACAAATACAGGCTGGGCAGAGAATGGATTGAGAGCAGACCTGGGGGAAAAGATTTGTGAGTGTTGGTGTATCAAAAGCTCGACATGACCCACCACTGTGTACAGAGAGCCCAGAAAGCCAATTGTATCCTGGGCTGCATCAAAAACAGTGTGGGCAGCATGGGGAGGCAGGTGAGTCCCCACCTCTGCTCCGCCCTTGTGAGGCCCCACCTGGAGTGCAGCATCCAGCTCTGGGATGCCCAACAAAGGAAGGACGGCAACCTATTGGAGCAAGTCCAGAGGAGGGCCATGAAATTGTCAGAGGGCTGGAGTACCTCTCATATGAAGACAGGCTGAGAGAGCTGGGGTTGTTCAGCTCGGAGAAGAGAAGGCTCTGGAGAGACCTTCTATCACCTTCCAGTATGTAAAGGGGGCACAAGGGAGCTGGAGAGGGACTTTCTACAAAGATGTGTAGTGATAGGACAAGGAAGAATGGCTTCAAACTGACAGAGGGCAGGTCTTGGTTAGATATTAGGAAGAAATTCTTTACTGTGAAGGTGGGGAGGCACCGGAGCAGGTTGCCCAGAGAAGATGGGCATCCAGAGAAGATGCCTCCTCCCTGGAAGTGTTTAGGGCCAGGTTGTGTGGGGGTCTGAGTAACCTGGTCTAGTGGAAGTTGTCCCTGGTCATGTTAGGGGGGTGGCACTAGATGATCTTTAAGGTCCTTTCCAACCCAAACCATTCCATGGTTCTGTGATTACTGATTAGTTTGGCAAGCTAAAATTTTGGGATATTTGCACGAAGTGTCTGAGATAGCAGTGTGAATTTGCACTGAAATGCAAAACTTGTCCCTAAGCTACCTGACATACACCTTTAGCAGCAGTTTTTTCAATATTCCATGGAATATTTTGCCATTCAAAAAGCTTTTCAGCCTGACATGAAACTGTATAAAATGAGATCCTTATAGAGAATCCTTGGCAAAGTTAGCTATATGTTGAAAAGGGACTAATTTAACTTCAACAAACTATATCATTTATATGAATGAAGTTCATTGCATCCAGATCTGACATTCAGGATAAGAGTCACCTCTTTAAATGTGGGGGATGAAGGATGCAGAGTGTGAATGGAGGAGAGGAGGAGAGAGATTCTTCAAGAAGCCAGATGAAAAGACAAAGGTGAGATTAAACAAAGTTCTGATGAGACAACCTCTCAAGAACCTGGGGAAGTCACTAATGACAGATTAGATGAGGAGCCAATAGGAGTTGGTGTGGATGAGGTGAAAAGAAATTAAAATTATTTCCAGAGACTGTAATGGGAATGAGAAGTTTGAGTTTCAAGAAAAGAGAATATAATGTAGAGAGGAATCAAGCAGTGGGCCTGCCCTGAAATATTTAAATGAGGGAAATGAGTGACTTACATGGCCAAAAACTGCAGAGTTCTGCACCAACAGCAAATACCTTGGAAATACCACGTGAGAAGAGTCTAAAAGACACTTATCACCTCCTTCTCAGCCCTTGCTGTTGCTGAATACCAAGAAACTGGAAGAACCATAAGAGAACCTATACTTCCAAATCATCCTGCCAAAAATGTCCAACAGTAAAAAGTTTGCCTGTGGAGTTTGTGCACCACTACAGATGGAGTTTTTGAATCCTTGTTTTCTCTTGCAAGGATGAACATCACATTATTTGTTTATTTTCAGATTTGATTTCAACTGCAAATACAGATATATTCATCTTGTTCTTTTCCATATGTAGTCACTACTCTTTCCTAACAACTCTGAAATGCAGCTGCTCCACGACAAGTAAAGGATGAGAAAACAGGCATGCATGACTACTTGACTAGCAAAATTTTCCAAAGACTGGGCCAAGAGCACACAGAAATCCTGGGGATAGCAGTAAATATACATTCCCTTGGGTTCTTTGGAGTGGAGAGAAAACAAGCATCTCCTCTTTTTCCTCTCTCCCATAAAAAAAATACCCCTAAAATCTGCACATTTCCAAATACATTTTATGCTCCGATTTCACTGTAGCAACATTATTCAGTAATTTCATTATGCAAATTCCTCTGATTTAGAGCATCTATTATTTATTCTTCTTTTATGCAGTCACCACCAAAAAAAAAGCAATGATGGTTTTAACCTATTTTGATAAGGCACATTGATAATTTGGTGAGAACACTGATTAAACCAATTTTTATTTTTTTTTTTTTTATCCTGCTAAGCTGTGGGAGATTTCCTATACAAGGCAGCTCTTGGCCCTGAATGGAAGAGGAGTGTGAAGCAGACGTGAAAGAGGTACAACACCCATCTGTCTTTCAGTGTGGCTTGGATAACGACACAAAGAATGTCACCAGGCATCTATGTGGAGGGGGTGGCAAGCAGAAAGCCTGGTCGTGACCACTAGTGAGTTTTCACAGATAGTCATCCGTGGAGACAAACCAGAGAAATGTGATTAACGAGCTGGAATAACACGATCTCGGCAAGTTTGTGCTACAATGTTTCTTCACACTGCACACATCTGTCACAAACAGGCTCATGAAATCATTTGCCGTTCGCTTTATCTGCAGAAACATTCTTTGTGTGCTGACATCATATGAAACGTGCCAGGGTAAGCAAATGCAACCTAATGGCAAACAGCTTGGTCTAACAGGAACACCTGTCTTCTTAGCTTGCTTTGGCCAATGATTTCACAGGCCTGAGCTGATAAAAATGTCCATAGCTTGGGCGAGAGGGTCTAACAACCATCTCTGCAGTCCACCCTTTTGCTCAAGGCTAGTCTGAGTCACAGAGTTAGGCTGAGAGTTCCAGTTTAAAACATAGTAGTGGTGGCAGAATGTGAGAAAACTGCTGCTTCCAAATCAGCAGTACTATCTACTGTGAGAAGTGTCACTTCAGACTTCCTTTACTTTTTTCCAAGCATCTGTTTCCAGTCACCATAATTGAGAGGACCATGGTCCTTTGGACTGACCTGTGAAAGCCACACTTAACCTTCTTATCTTCTCCACACTCGATCCCACGTTCTCTTCTTTATGGTTTCCCTCATCCTACCAACCTCCCTACCCTGTTCTTCGAGTTCTGCTAATTCTTCTCTTCTCCCATCATTCAGCCTTCACAGGGAAAACTGAAGCTGTTTTATAATTTTCCTCATCGTGCTTATGTCTTTTCTTTAATTCCTCAGAAGTAGTTCTACTTACCTTTAAGTTTTAGGCCTCTAACTTAAACCAAAATTTCCAGCTCTTATAATTTTACGGCAAATCTTGAAAATATAGTGGTTTTCTTCTAACATTAACTACTGCAGTAATTTGAGAGTTTCTGTTCCATAATAAAACAATTTTCCGTTTCTCATTTCACAGAGAGAGGCTCAAAAACACAACTCCCAGTTTTATAAAAAAAAGACCATAAACACCTCCCCCCAAATGTAGGTTATTAATTTTTAAATTCATAAATAGAAAAAAGCTCAGAAATTTGAAAATTTGAGGTTGGCAAGAATCCTAAACCCACCTTTCTTCAGCAACATTGCTTTAGACTGATTGTTTAACTAGAAAAATTTTATGAGAAAAGCATCATATACTCTAGGCAGGCATCATTTTTATGGTAAATGCCCTAATCCTTTCCAAGTTAAATGGAACAATTTGTCCTTTAATGGATTGAATGGGCTAAAAGTTTCTTCCTAAATTTAAACTTTTAACTGAGATTTCTAGAATTAATTCTATATTTGTTTCTGTAATTAATTCTACAATTCAGCCTTCCGATCCCTATCCCTCTTGGCACCCACTGTGCAGACCCTGTCACAGAAAGATTGGCTGATATCCAGTGACATCCACACTACCCTTCTATGAAGCCAAGCCACCATAAAAAGTTTCATAAAATCTGCAGGCCCCTGAACCTTCTTACTCTGCCAAAAAGGAAAAAAATGGTCACATAAAATGGGATTGTATCAAGAAGGAATGTTAGGGAAGAGATGGAAAACAGAAGAAGGTTGGTTTTTTGATGTTTGAGAAAATATGCATAGTTATATAGAGAATACATAGTGATACCAATAATGATACTACAAATGGAGCAAGTTGAATTACTACATGGAATCTGCACTTTTAAACAAGTAACTAATTTACAAGAAGTCTTTTCTTACTTGCTGAACAGAATTTAATATAATATAATTAGTACAGCTCTATTCACAGTATATCCTCTTGGCAAGATTCTCTTATCTTGCCAATCCTTCCAGGAGATAATATATGCCATCTGGAGGAAATGCTTCTCTTTCCCCCACCCTCCCATCTGTTATATATTTCTCTTTGATCCCCCCACCCTCAGCACTTTATCCTCTGATCATCCCTAGACCTCAAACTCTGGCTGTACAACCATTTTCACTTTCAAACTCACCGTATTTCTCTTTGGGTTTTGCCTTGTGGTTTTATCACACTACTGAAAACTACTAGTCTGCAATAGTCTTAACTGAAAACTTCTTCGTCTCTAATTTCAATCCATCTCTCTCTTTCTTTTATCCTGAAATTCTGAGTTAGCTTCCGGAACTCATTTAAGGACTTCTGATATCTGATTTTATACTCTTTAATCAGACAGATTGCCTGCATTAGGGTAATAAAATCAGAAATAAAGAATGGAGTTCAAGATCCTACCTATCCAAGGTAGGATCAGTTATTTCTAGAGTAATTTCTGAACAATAACTATGCAAGCTTTCTTATAAAAGCAGCCTTAAAAAAACAGAGACTTGACATCCTGTCCACAAAACTCAGTTCCAGTCCTTTGCTATCTTTATAATATTTAAAAATATCAGTCCCTTTACACTTCAGAAGATTTTCATAGTATCAGTCCTAAAGCTCCCTAGCAACACTTTGAGCCTTTTCCTTTTTAAGCTACCCTAGTGAACATGTAGAACAGCTTGTTACTCTCTTTCAGCAACCTTTTACATATTTATATACTCTTATCAGGTCTCTTTTCTGTCTTCTTTTGTTTTAGACTAAACAATTTCAGATCTTTCAAGCTTGGCTTTAAGGCATATTTCTAAACCTCTAATGATTTTACACACTTGTGGATTCCCTCTGACTGATTTCTGTACTGTTTTTTATGCAGCAAATGCACACCTAGGCACAGAATTCCAACTGAGACCCTACCAGGAGTGAGGAAAGAGGAAATACGAGGGGTGAGGTGGTGGTGTTCCTCATAAAGCTTGATAACCAGCATGGGGAACTGTACTGAGCCACTTAGTCCCTGTTTCTTTACTGCAGTGTTCATTACTTGTGCAGAAATGCAGTACTTTGCACTTATCCTTATTGAATTGCATCTTGTTTACCAGAAACATTTCTCCATTTTAAAAACTAATTTTAAATTTCAGTTTTTCTATTCTTTTCTATTCTAATCAGCTGCAATGCTGGGCTCAAGATATGTTCCTATGGAAACATCCAACATAATTTCTGATGGACTATGAAAGATTGATGACTATTTGGACAGCAGAAATCCAAGAAGTTGTAGATCATGAATTTTTGCTCACATTTTAATTTCACTGTTTGCTTACAAAAATATTATCAAAGACATTATAAAAAATATTAGTAATATCAGTATGTAATTATATGACACCCACAGCTTTTACTCAATCTACAATACCAATTATTCTATTGTAGGTGAAATAAGGTTTGTGAGACATGGTACATTCTTAATCATAATGTCTGTTAAGTATTACTTTATGGTCTTCTGAAGGCTTATAAGCTGATTTTTTTCACTCTACTGTGAACTGCATTTTCACTCTACTGTGAACTGCACTTCTAGGTTGATTCTGGCAGTTCATTAAGAACATCCTAAGGTGAAACATAACCAAATACATTTACTTGGCTCAGCCAAGTAAAAGAAATCTAAAAGTGACTCCTTCTCTTTAACTCATTCCACAGAAATGAATTCTTCTTTAATGCATTGTATAATTTTTGATGTGGAAGTCCCTTGCAGGATATGTATATTCACAGGGATGCGGCATCTGGGATTAAGCTATTTGAAATACTAGGCAGTTGTTCAACAGCAAAGCAGAGCATGGAGCAGAAAGAAGCAAAATCCCATTTGTGTTTGTGTGTTTTCCTCTAACTCACTATAGCCATTTATGACAAGAATAAGGAGCTTCTATGACAAATCATTTCATGTGACTTTCACAATCATTTCCATGTGACTGTTGGTTCCATAAATTCGAATCACACACACGAATCTCAGCCAGAGCAGACAGTGTGGGCCTAGCAAGATGTCTTGTCTGGAGAACCCACAAAAGCGTGGTTTGAATAGAAGGAAATTTCTCTTTCAGAGAGCCCCACAGGTACTGAACTGATAGTAGCTGGTGTCTCTGTATCTCTCTTTGGAGAAGTAACAGGAGGTGAGGAACAGTACAGCAGTATTTTTGGAGAGCTACAAACTTACGTATCCTGCTGAGCAGTGACTTGGCCTTAGGTCTGCCAAGCCCACCTAACCCCACTCAGCAGCTTGCACGGTGCAGCAAGTAGGGGGGGCTGCAAAGCAGGAAATCTGCACATATAGGTGGGTTTGAGCTTTCCTGCCTTTTTACTTCTGTAAAAAAACAAAAGCTTCTAACACTCTATATAAGTACACTGAATTTTCCAGTAGATAGAATATTTACCTGCAACACCAAAACATCAAAGCCAAATCCCTGTTCTTGACCAGAAAGATCAGAGAGATGAATTTAAGTCTCCTACAGCTCAGGAAAAAAGCTTGAAATTTTGTTCTTTGGATTTCATGGAGGGAAAAAACAAATGGGTCTTTTCTTGCTTTCTTTCTTTCTCCATTCTTCCCTCTTCAAACACATATTTTAACCTACCCTTGTCTCCCTATAAACACCCTCACACATCAAACAGCTCTTCAAAATGCAAGTTGTCATGCTTTGTTCCTCTGGACACCTTTCATTTTTATGAATCGATATTTTCTAATTAAAAAAAATAGATTCTTATTTTGTTCCCAAACACCTGCTCATATATACACTTACATTTTCACTGCAGACTAACTTATATTTAATGATAAAGTTTGAGATACAATTCCCCTTTCCACAGCTAGCAAAAAGCCTGTTAAAACTGTGACAGAATTTATAGCATATGATTTCTAGGCCTGTTCCATTACTAGCGGTCTCAATTTCCTCCTCTTAAACATACTAACACAAACTGTTCTTTTGGCTAGAAAGAGAGTGAAGAACAGAGCAGGCTGTGGCATTTCCTTCAGATCATCCTGTCTCTGTGCCAAAAGCCTACCTTTTTCTCTCTTGCACCAAATGCAATGAGTTCAGACTAGCTGAGTATCATGCTAGAGGAGAATAAGCTCCCGATTTTTTAATTTGCTTTCAGCATACTCTGAGAGCATTTCTTGAATACACTTTTGGATTCATTAACATTTCCAAAAATTATTTATTAGTATCAGTTTCAGCAGAATAGAGGAAAGAAAAATGACCTCTGCTTTTTAATTACTATTAGGAGATGGAGGAAAGAGAAAGAAAATGTCCCTAAAGTTATATTTCTAAGGCAGAGCTTGCCTGGATTATGAAGGCAGCTGAGAAAGTTCTCACTTTGTTTGAACTGACCTGTTTGTGAAAGTCTTATTTCTCCTCCCACCTCTTCTTTTCTTCTGCAGTGTCCAATCTCGAAAACAAACTGACATATGTTCTCTTGGATCAGCTCGTAAGACTTGCAACGTCAGGAGTGCAAACAGACTTTAGCTGTTTAGTTCAGGAAATGAGATGCAGAAAATCTGATAAATAAACAGTGTTTATTACTCCAGTTTAAAGTACGCTTTGGATTTCTTTTCAAAATACTCCTACGAGGAACTGAGGATGAATATTAAACATGTGCTCCTAATTTAGGGACCTCAATGGCAAGGTCAGAGGGTCTTCAACTTACACAATTTGTATAGTGAGGTTATAACAGAAGTGAATGATTCTGATCTTTAACCATACTAAAGAAACAACAATAAATTTGAATTACATAGAATTTAACTCCAAAGAAACTTGTAAGACTTATGAATACACTGAGATGAATTAGAATAATAGAATTTAGGACAGGGTGTGAATTATAATGCTTTGTGACTTAAGCTGAGAGAGAGACACAGAGATTTAAACAGCTGACACATAATTACCCAATTTGGATTAGGACAAGAGTGGAAAATATTCTTCTACTCAAGCAATTAAGTATGCATTTTAATGGTTATAGGGCCATAAATTTAGATTTAGATATCATTCAAATGGCACTTCCTTTACCAGCAGCATCTAGATCCCCAGTGGGGCAGTAAGGCATCATTTAACTTTTAATTCTGAGTAGTGTCATGTGTCACCCTATTTCCCTGTCATGGCTATGTGAACTACTCAGCACAGAAGGGACCAGCACCCGTGGCTCCGATAACACACATGCAGCCAGGCACAAGTAGGAACAGCCAGGGACCATAAACCTGCCCTGCATGTACACCAGGAGATGCAAACAAGAAAGCACAAAAGTGCAATTAACTTCATAAAAAGCCAACTTCGTTCCTATTGTAAGAAAGGAAAGAGGAGAGTTTAGAACGCAGTAGATGAGTTTTGAAGCTAAGTCTTGATATTGTCTTAAGGACATGGTAACTGCATGCATCGCTGCCCTTTGGGACTTGCATAAAAACACAATTTGGCCCTCAAGAGAGAAGACAGAGATCCACTGAGTCACCAGTAACATCTTCTGCATTGCTTTGGATTTGTCTTGAAGGCACCTCCCTTCCAGCTCTGCAGTAAGCATCATTTCCACCAGACGGAGGTGATTCAGAACCCATGAAACAGTCATTTTTCCGAGTAATGAAGAACTATTACTGAATGAGCTATCATGTAAATAGCTTTTACTGCCACATTTGAATTCTGAACGAATTCAAATTTTAGTGAAAGGTGTTCAACAAGTATCATTGAGCCAAGAAACTTTACTCACTGTTCTCAAGAAGAACACACCCAGTACTTGTGACTTTCATTTTTATTCCTAGCCTTACTCCCTGCATCACTTTCTTGTTTTGGAATAATGAATTTTGGGGAAAAAAATTGCTATCAGATACTGAGGTATTCTATACTAATGCTTATCTGAGAGAAATTATTTCATCTGGTTTATTTTGGCTAAAAGCAACAGTCAGCAGAAAAGACCTTTTAGATTTTCTTTAAATCCTAAATGAATGAGATGCAGACTGATAAGTCAATTAAGAACGATTTTGTGAAACCCTTTACCCTCATCCTAGATTGCAATCTCTCTCCAGTCAAGGTGGCTGTATTTATCTGTCCATATTCATCCTGTTTTCCTATATTGTGTTTGAAATCTCCATGTGAAATATTCTGTAGTCCAACAGTGGTAACAGCAGTAACTCACAGACTTTTTGTAATTTGAAACATTTTCCCCAACCTCTTCCTTGTAGCTGTCATGGTAAATAATGAAAATAATCACCTTACATACAGCACTGTTGCTTCTTTCTGATCCGTGTTTCAAACCAAACACTTTTCATTTTTATTAATCTCCTGTTTCCTTAAAGGGTAATTTTACATCAAAACACTAACATTTTTCATGTTTTAGTTATTACTCTATAAAGTTATTCACTAAATCTTAAATTTTCAAGAAGTGGCAAAATGTGTGCTACAGCAAAATTTTACAGTTTTCTCATCACAAGACATTTTGCATCTTTATCTATCACATAAACCTTTTTTTTGCCATAAGTGAGACTGCAGCTGTTTGGAAAATCAAGCCTTGGACCAACTTTGCCCCTATAACAAAGGGAACAATGAAACACTGACTGTAGCAGGGGATTCTGGCTGCTGCCTCCTGTATTCAAGAGGTTCTTAATTAGAAGACAGCACTTTAATTTCTCCATTCTTACAACCCTATAGCCTGATACAGTTGCTCAGTAGGTTGTGCCCACTCAAATCTAGTTCACAGGATCCCATCAGGAGAAGGCCTGAGGCAGTACCTTGAAGGACTGCATGAATTTTATCCCTTGCATGAAAAAGAGGGAAGAGGGGAATTGCAGGCAGAAGTCAAGGCTGAATGTGTCATATACAGCAAGTAAGACTTGCCAAGTTAGGTATAGTCTCTGGGTGAGCTGTAAGAGGTCTTTTTCCTGAAGTCAGCTGAACTTTTCTGAAAGCCAGCTCAACCCATACCTGCATTAATTAATTTGAAAGTTATGACGAGTTGCTAAGTTAGAGCAAAAGTGAGTGTTCTGTTGATAAAGACGGCACACATGGGCAAGGATTACTCTGCACGTTATGGAGGCAGTGTATTTAACTAATTAACAGAGCTCAATAGATGCTGTTCCACCTGACAGTCTTACTTAATAGTAGATTAAAAAAACTCCCCCAAACCTCGAACATTAAGGCTTTGGCAATAATTTCAACCACTATTGTAGAGAAGCTGCCAAATCTTTTGTTGAATTAAATGACGGTGGGGTGTCCAGTAGATCCCCTTTGGCTGTCAGAAAGTGTCTCGTACAATGTGCCATGATGCCACGTAGGAACAAGTGGCAACAAGGACTGTGTTCAGCTCCTTGTGTCTTTGGTTCAGAGACCTGCTTGTTACCTGCAAAGAGGGATTCGTGTCCAAGTGCCGGTGTGTTTAGTGTTACAATAGAGGCTGAACCTCGATCACCCTTTGGTGGCAGTGGCCACAAACGTCTTTATTACCGCTGACGTTGAAGGCAAAGCATGGAGGAAGGCAAAGCGGCTGCCGGCTTTCTGCCCCTGTGCTCCCCGAGGTCTCAACGGCTCTCTTCACGTATATTCTCTCACATGTATATATTTGCATTTGTTTAGCCCACGTCGGGCACCCATAGCTGCTGGCGTTCCAGTGGATGTCCACAGCCCACCTCATCCTGGGGCTCTCCCCGCTCGCGGCGGTGATTTACGTGCAGAAGGGCGACTCTGCCCCGCAGCACCCAGCCCAGGGGACCGAGCCTCCTCGTCCGTCTGTCCTTCGTCTCGCCCGGTGGTGGAGCCTGTCGCGCCTCCCGCCGCGGACTCCCGCTCCGGCCTGGAGCTGCTGGAGGCGGGCGCGTCCGCGCGGGCCGCGTCCCACATAAAAAGCCCGCGCCACTGCCGCCTGCCAGCCATCAACTGAGCCCGCGGCCCGCCTGGGACGGCGCTCACCGGCAGCTGGTCATGGCCCGGCGCCTCAGCCCTGCCAAGCTAGTCCGGGGGCTTCGCACGGACCGGCTCTGTGCTCCCGCCTCCTGCGCTTCACGCCCGCTGCTCTTTCCCGCTCCGCCGCAGAAGCGCTGCCACGGGGCCAGAAGACGCTGGTCCCGCCGCGTGTGTGTCGCAAAGCCAGCGGCCGCCCCTTCCCCTCGCCGCGCCGCCATCAGCACCTTGCCCGCCTCCTCCCGGGGCCCGGGCGGGCTCGCACGCCCCGTGCTTCGCCGCCGCTGTCCCCAGCCGAGGATGCGGGTGTCGGTCTGCTGAGCCGCGCTGCTCCTGCCTGTCGCCTACAGCGCCGGCCCGCCACGCCGCGGAGCTTCCGGCCGCCGCGCCAATGCCCGGCCGCGCGATGTGTCCAAGTGCCCAGCCCCAGCTGCCCCAGCGGTTACGTCCCCGACCGCTGCGGCTGCTGCCTCATCTGCGCCGCGGGCGAGGGGGACTCCTGCGGCCGCAAGGAGGACCCGCCGTGCGGGGACAGCCTCGACTGCCGCTACCCCATGGGCAAGCGCTTCGCCAAGGGCGTGTGCCAGTGCAAGCTCAGCGCCCAGGTGTGCGGCAGCGACGGCCGGACCTACGACAACATCTGCCACCTGAAGGCGGTGAGCCGCAAGGCGCTGCAGCACGGGCTGCCCGCCGTCGCCCAGGTCCAGAAGGGAGCCTGTGAATCGGGTAGGAGCATGGTGGGGCCTGTGGTGGGCGGGTGGGTGGCTGGGCGGCGCGGGGGAGAGCTGGCTTCCAGGGTAAGAAAAATCGTGATTTTCAGTGGCCTGGGAAGACTGGGTGGCTGTAGGGACCGTAAGAAGCTCCAAGGACGTGGCACCACACCCAGCTGCCCATGACACCAGTGAGCTGCGGTGTGCAGAATGGGTGCTCAGGTCCTTTCTGAACAAAGTCCTTCTCCTCAGTCCTCAGTGTGGGCTTGGGCTGGGTTTGGGAAGGTTTCTCCTCGGTAGCATGGCTGTGGATGTCTTGGTGACGTGCAGGTTGCTGCTGCAGTGCACCTGTGAGAAGAGGTGAACACACTTGACAGCACGGGAGCCAGAGGGATGGGGGGTGTTCAGCTGCCTGGGCAGCACAGCGCCCACATCCTCAGCCATCTCCCCTTCTGAGGCCAGAACACGCTGGCAGGGCAGCAGTACAAGCTTGTTCTAATCCTGCCAGTGTAAGCTTTGTTCATCGTGTTGGTGGTGACAGCTGAGGTGTTGGGTGGCATGGCCCATGAAGGTTGTACAGCAGACCCACAGCAAACACACCCTCAATTACCCTTTGGTGGCAGGAGCGGGGACCCAGGAACACTTGTGCTCCTGGGCCATCCTTAAATGTCAATTTTGGAATTATCACTCAATCACCCTGGTGGTGGGGGTGTTAATCGGATTCACCTGACAGACATTGCTAGGCAGGAAATGCCTCTAAAAACCAATCAGGACAGAAAAAGCACCGAGTAGTATATAAACCACCTAAACAATAGTGTCTCACCTGGTTTGTGTTCTTCACAGAAAGGTTTTATAGTCTTGTAGAGTCTTAAGTGGGGAAAAAATGCCTCAGAACCTCTTTTACAGTATAAAAATATTGATAGTCAGGATATCACATGGTCTGTTTGTAGTAAAGTACTGAGGCCTTTGCTCAAATACTGTGAGATACTATGGCAACTTCAGGCTTGATGATTTAACTTTGGAAAGTTTAGTAATCATTTAAGTTATTAATTTCTTTCTAGCATTAAAATGTGTCTCTTTATGGAAGTGTTAATGCTCCCAGAGTCTTTCCATGTACTTATTTATATGTTATTTTGAGGTTTTGCTATTGCTACCTTTCTCATAGAGTTCTTGGAAAGAGAAGTCTTGTGTATAATGGAGTTCTAAAACATGCATTGGTGTTTCACTTTTGTCTGGTGAACTACTAACCATCCTGTTTATTCAAGGCAAACTGGCCAAAATTATTGGGAGGGATCAGAGGGAATAGGGCTACTGTTGTAGCCTTTCTGTGAACAGGGGACCTTTCATACATCCTGCTATTGAGAGAAGGTAAACCAGTTCAAAAAGGGGTATTCCTAGAGTTGCTTTAGGAGTATCTTACCAGAGCCAAGAATTGCCCCAAATGCCAGCCTGCAGCTGCAATGATCAGTCCCTCTAGTATTTTGTAGTTATAAATTGGGTTTTGCCTGTTCCTTTTCGCATAGGAATCCATTAGCTTTAGTACTCCTAAAACTTGGCTGGAACTGATCCATGTGAAATAATCAGAATGTTTAACCAAAATGAGTGAGCTAGTCTGCATCTGAGGGCTTACTGAGTCCTTGGCATTTGGTATATATGACACTTTCTTTAAGAAATCCTCCTGTATCTACTGTTAATAGGCTTAGGAATTTGGAGCCGTGAGGCAGAGGTAGCATGTTTTTTTTTTCAAGCAACTATTTTAGTTTTCACTTTATTTTGGCTTTATTTTTTGTTCCAGAAAACCTCAGCTTAGATGAAGCATCTGGTTCTCTGTTAAATTTTAATTTTTTTTATTCAGTTCTACAGCTGCACAAACTGAAGCTCAAAGAAACTGAGTGTCTTGCCCAAGGTCAGACTAAGTTGGTGGTTGAGCCAGGAATAGAACTCAATTATGGTATTTAAAAAAAAACCAACAATAACATGCAATGGCTGTAATGAGAGGCTTGGAAGAAAGTTGACAGTTTAAAATTGCTGTCAAGTTTCTGTCTTTTCCCTGTTCTTGAGAGAAATCTGGCCTCAGATGACTCAGTTTGAAGGGATAAGCTAGTTATGAAGTAAAGCCAGTTTTACTTAACCATCCATATACTAAAACAATTTTGGATAATGGAAGCCTCCATCAGTATGACTCGGGCCCTTTTTAGAACATGCACTGGCCCTGAGGAGTGGCTTCTGAAGTATCTCCTCCTGTCCTTTTTCCAGTTGCCTGTGTTGATGCTAAGTTGGAATCTGGCTGTGATGAACCAAGAGTGGCTGAGAAACTTCGCTGTGGTTTCCTAGTGACAGGAGTCTGGTGAACAAGGATGCATTAAAAAGGACTAGTAAAGGATGCAGGAAGGAAGGGAGGAAAGAGGTGCCCAGGGTGATGGAGTGATAATTCCAAAATTGACATTTAAAATGGTTTTTTCGTTGTTGAAGTCCCGGATTAGCTTGAAGAACACCATGCCAAATTCCAAGTTCTGCATACAATGAACTAAAGGAGGTACATACTGCATGAAGGTACAGGAGCTCCATAGTTGGTGTTCTTCAACATGCCTGTGCCCTGAAAACTCACACAGTTCATCTTATGAACAGACCCAAGGTCTTCTCAGAGATACTGATAGGAACAGTATGCAGAACTCCAGAGTGAAGTTAAACTCCATGCTACAAATACTGGGTTTTTTTCCCCTGCTTCAACACTAAATATTTATGGAGGACAACCTCTAATCAAAGACTCGTTCATACAGAGCCCTGTTTCTTAGGGGAGCAAGTTTAACAATGACACGTATTGATCTATTAAAGTGTCAAACTCCTCACTCGAAGAATTCACTTGGTCACCTGCAATCTACAATCAATTTATGTCAGACTCAGTTTTTTGCACAAAGGGCTACTTTTGATCTTTCAGTACAACTTTCTTAGTACAGTTAAGAATTCCCTGCAATGTTATTTTGCTAATAGTTTCTGTGAAGAGAGTTTAAATGTCAAAAAAATTGTATTTTCTTACCTAAGATGAGGAAGCAAAATTTTTTTTTTTTTTGAGTGCTATTTTCTCAGTGGAACAAGGAAACTGAGAGATTGATTAGAAAGCCTTTGAGGCTGGATTTGACACTGATCATTTTTTGGTTTCTGTCCTCTGCACTGTTAAACTGAAGTCATTTACAAAGTGGTCATGATGTGAAGCCTCACCCATGTCAGTCAAATCTTTGCAAGATACGATCCTAAAAGTTCATTTTTCTAAGAGAAATGTTTGAAATACAGTTAATGCATAAGCAGAGTCATTGCACACGGTTGTGCATGGGGTGTTTGGAGTGTGCCCATACATAACCTTGAAGATAGAGAGGAACAACCTAGTATACAATTACTTGCATTTTTAAGAAGTAGGCCCAGTAAGAGATATTGAAGTCTTCTACTGGTGTTATTGTCATCAAAGCCTTGCAGCTGCCTGCAGCTGTATTTAGGGAAATGCTCTGCAAGGTATTAGCTGGAAAACCAAACTTTAGTCACATTCCTGTACTGCTTGTTTTCATTATGTCTGAGTTTAGTTTGAGTTCCTGCAGGTGAGGATGAATATTGTACAGTGTTTGGTATATAATTCAGAGTATAGAACTTCACTGCTTTGTATAGGATAGCTAACGGGAGAGAGATGTTCTCGTTGCATCTCTTTGAGATTCACTTGGGAAGGAGGAATAACAAGCATGTAAAGTCAGTGAGGTGTCTATGCTGGAAGGCTTGTGCCAGTCTGTCTCTGTCTGGCCCTTGTGATTGCTGCATTGCACGAGAAAGCCACTTTGGTTGGTTGGTTCACCAGATTGTTTTCATCTGTGCACGGTAGACATCCATTGTATAAACAAGTTGCCTGAACCATAATGTGGCATTAAACTCACCAAGGCTTTATGGTCAGTGCACAGCTATGCAACTTGATCTTAATGCTGAATTCATCAGAAAAGCTGCCCATGAACCTATGTTTCCAGCAGATGTTTCTGCTTTTTAAGCAGAGACATCATAATCTTTTATTTGTCTTTCATTTCTTTCCATGAAAGCACAGTAGGGACAGTGTTTATCCCTGGTGATCAGATCTGCCAGGTTGCACTCCACCCTTAGACATAATAATTTTGCTGAACGCACAGATCTTTTCTGAAGCTGGATTTAAAAGGGGGATGGGGAAATAGCCTTAAAAGAATGAGTTTCCCAGGCTCACAAATTCTTAATGAATATAAAATTGTGGATTGTAATACAATGTATTGTCTTTAAGAAAGCAGTGAATGTGATTTGATTTAATTCTACAGAGACTAAGTTGGCAGATATTCAGAAATGTTCAGTCTTTTGCAAATGTAAATTGGTCCAGGTTTATTGTCTTCAGTGGGATTATGATGATTATTTCTGCTGAAATTTTTTTTCCAGCTCTTTTCATACTAGGTTAACTACAGATTTGTTGGAGTTGTTCCTGGTTTTACAGCAGTGTTAATGAGATTGGAGTGGGTCTATTGTCCCAATAAGTAAAGTAAATAAAACACTATTGAATGAACTCATAGCCTATAGATAACGTCACTATCCAGGAAAAATCTTAAGCTGATAATAAGGATACTCCTACGTGACAGACACTTGAGTTTAGCCATGCAAATCCAGTGTGGTTGGAACCCACAGAACTGGAAATGTAAGATCACTCTTTACAAAATAGGCTGAAAATCACTATCTCCTCTTTATGCACTTATATCAAAATCTGGATTTTGAGTGTTTTGTGAAAGGAACTGGAGACCTGAAGATCTAATAGCTTAATTGAAATAATAGGATCAAAGTTCAAGTGGGCTGAAAATCTGGTTGATTTTTGGCTATGGAGCAGATTGGGGAAATCTAGTTCTTTTGACTAAGAAGTCTTTAGACAGCTAAAGACTCATACAGTATAAGTTTGGGTTTGTTTCAAGTACAACCTGGTTGCAGCACCTTTGATATCTTGGTTATACAACAGATGGTTAATTGGATTAAATTATGTCTTCTTGCCAAGACAAATTAACTGTGGTTAGTTTGAGATGATTTTGAACATTCAGTAATACCATTGAAAACAATACATGTTGTTGAGGGACCTTTGAAAAACTATGTGGCAAATTTCAGGGGGTAAATTGGTCAAAATCTGCAAAGGTGCTGTGAACTCAGAGCTGTTACATGATCAACCCAGCAGAGATCCAAGAGCTGTGTGGGGCTCCACAAGGCAGCAGGAGTGTGTATGTAGGGAGATACATATTTAATTTTATATTTTAGTAAGAACAGTAGCAGCAGCTAGTGTCTACCAACTAATGCAAATTAAAGGAGAGATTCTGCTACTACTAATTCTAGTACTACAGTTGTAACATTTGTATTCAGGGTGACCTTATACAGTGTATACAGTGTTGTATGTTGCTTCATTCTTCCGTTTCTCAGGCTGCAATTCCTCCGTTTTGAAGTGTATTGAGAACTGCTGATTAAAACCGTCAGTGTAATAATTATGCATTAAAATCCTAGTAATAATAATCAACACTTCAGTTCCCTTAAATAGGGCTGCATATGTGAGAGTAAATGTGAGTCTGCAGTTACATCTTCCAAGTCCATAGTTTGAGGTCCTGGCACATCATATAATGTGTTTAAAGGTTCTGATCCCTTCCAGCTTGCACAAATTGATCCAAGAAAGATCAGTTTCCATGAAGGCATCTCAACTTTGTAAGTCAGTTTTCACCAGTATTTGTTCTCCACCAGAACATAATGAGAACAGTTCATTTCTAATCAGACCAGTAGATCTTCAGCCACATCTTTCATACAAAGTTTGAGTCTCTGTTAATTCTTGATCCTCCTTTGTTTCAGGTTTCTCTTTAATATATAGTGCAGATTTGGATTTACTTTCAAGTTTGAGTATTCTTGTCTTCTGACCAGAGCAGGGAGGTTCTGGACTTCTGCTCAGACTGAGAAATGTTTTCACTGTGGTATGAAAAGAAGACAAGCTTTGTTTCAGTTTTACAGTCTCTTCTCTGTATGCTGCATTTTATGTCCTTCATCTCTTTCCATGCTTACATTTATCGACTGCATCTTTCAGACACTTTCTCTCTGCCTCCCCAAATCCTACCTGGAAAGCCACTGCCACCCACGATGTTTACCTGGTGGCTAGTCAGGAGTGATGCAAAACTGAGTTCTTTGGCAGGCATCTTCCTCTGCTTTTGGCCATGTGCAGTGCTGTAACAATTTGGCATGGGAAGAACAGTTCAGCACTCAGCAGATGCAAAGGGGTTTAGTTGCCCTGACTCACATAGAGCTATGCTGATTTACACCAGCTGAAAGCCTGCATTCATCGTTGTTTTTCCCCCAGTTCCATGCTAGTTTATCAGCTGAGGGTCTATCCAACTGTCTTTCATTGATGCATGGTCATGTCTATTAAGAAAAATGTGATGGTAATGTTATATCCTGTCAGGGACCACTTGTTGTATATGCAAGTGTTCAAAGTCATGTTAGTAGACTTCAAAGGATATACTGCATAATCAGGCAAGCTGCTTGTGAACTGAAGGTAAGATAAATCTTCAGTGGCCTAGTAAGCAAAATAAATAACAGTATATTGTGCTTACATTTGACTGTCCTCTGTGATTCCTGTTTGCAATGTCTCTTTTAAACTAAGTACTAAAACAAGCATATTCAGTTGGTTAGAGGGATTTTTCAGAATGTGTGAGAATGTACATAAAAATAATGGATTGAATCTAGTCTTGCCAAGCTGTTCCTTTTGTTTATTCTGTATCATATAAATTTAGCTTGCTAAATGTAAGCATGGTTTCTTTCCCTTCAGAAGTAAATCCCATATCCAGTAACAGGAAAAAGAACTCAGACTTCTTTGAAGAAATACCTAATTGTCTTGATCTGGTTTCTTCAATACTTTCTTCTTTTGTACCAGTACTGGGTCCATTCCATTAAGTTCCTGTCTTTGCTTTAGGTCTTTTGCTTGCTGTGGTAATGTAAGGTCTTGCACTTAACTGACTTCAAAGGTCCTCTGACACTTTCCAGTGAAAGCTTCCTGAGAGATTGGAGGAATTATAACAGTTCTCTGTCACCCCCTATCTAATAAATTAATTCAAATAATAGAATAGACCAGTGGCACATCTTTTTTGTCAATAGGTTAGACTCCATTGTGCTGTAATCTTTATATTTGTCCCAAATAATTTACAAGTTACAAGGTTTAATGGTCATAAAGCACCTGTAGATAAGGATTGCTCAGAACGATCAGAGAATTAAAATTACACAGACTGTGAAAATGCGTGAGAACTCAAACATTTCTCTCTTTTCTGTGTATCTTTACTTTCTGCTTGATGCCTCCTACCTGCTTTCTTTTTAAAGACTTGGCTAAAGGGGCAGCTGATGAAAGAAAAGTATATACTTTCTTAAGACAGAATCTGTATCTGGACTCATTGCTATGTTATGTGACCTAGAAGTAGGCAAATCTCAAATCTCTAAGACCAGGTCTTGACTTTGTATGCAAGAGCTACTGTGGAGTAAATTCATCCTTCAGCGTGAGTTGAACTTAGAGTAAATCATGATAGTGCAAAGCATCGCTTCCGAAGAGTTGATAATATTTAGAAATGAGAATTTGGAGCCTCTTTTTCCTGACTAAATGGCAGAAAAAGAAGTGTGTCTCCTGGGATAAACATGTGCTGTTGTACGAGATTTGAAAAAGTCAAAAATGTTATTGCTGTACCTGGTTACAACTTGTTTACACCCTTCCCTAGACCCTGTATTTATTTTAAAGCATCAGACTGTAAACATGAAAGACTGCTATTTGAGTGTGGTAATATGTCCTCTGTCATATGTTTAACATATGTGGTGATATGTCCCTGTGTATTTGGGATTGCAGAAAGTAGGACATTCTAGCACAAGCAGTATTATTACTTTAGGATGTTGTGATGTTAGAATCCAGGATGTTTAGATATTAGAAGTCAGGATACTGTGAGCTTTTTTCTCCTCTGTAAAATCTTCATTCCACACAATTATATTCACTATTCATAAATGCTTTGTGTAGTGCTGCTTAATGTAGTACCACACTGGCTTTTGTAAAAACTTTTAGTAATCTATTGCTAGGCCCAGCTGCATGGGGTAGCTTAAATGTGAATTTGCAAAACTTTTTAGGGGCAAAGGTTATGATTTGCAGTAGGTTTCTAATGTGTCTACTTCAAAAAAATTAGAACTTGGGTTTTAAATGTGGCTCCCAAATGCTGCGGCTGTATTACTCAGCACTTGTTAGACCACATATACAATACTGCATCCAGTTTTGATCCCTCAATATAAGAAAGGCATTGAGAAAATGGAGTTCAGGAGAAGGGCATGAGGATGGCTGGGGGGACTGGACATATCTCCCGTGAGAAAAAGCTGAGTGTACTGTGCTTGTTCAGCCTGGGGAAGAGAAAGCTCCAGGATGACCTAACAGCAGCCTCCCTGTACTCATGAGGTTACTAGGAAGATGAAGCCAGGCCCTTTACAGTGATGCATAGTAAGAGAATGAGAAATAATGGGCACAAGTTGAAACATGAGTCTCAACAAGAGAGATTCAGAGTAGCCATAAGAAAAACTTTTACGTCACAGGGGACAGTGAAGCAGTGGGACAAGTTTCCTAGAGTTTCTGGAGCTTCCGTCCTTGGCAAGATTTTGCAAATCCTGGCTGGACAGAGCCCTTGAGCAGCCTGGTTTGCCTTTGTAGCTGACACAGCTTTGGGCAGGAGGTAGAACTAGAGACCTCCTGAGGTCCTTTCCAACCTTACCTATCCTATGATCCTGTGTGTTTTGGATAGTAGTTAGTAGTTGTGCTGAGAAAAATGCTTGAGAAAGGGCTTGTAGACTTTAAGAAAAGTCAAAGAACTTACAGCTAAGTTAAGAATTTATAGCTAAGTTATGCTGATGTTTAATTTTCTCAGGATCAAACAAAACGCTGGATAAGTTTTGAACAATCTTAATGACTTTGATTCCTTTTATGGTACCTGTTTGGAAACTGTTCTAGTAGGAGAAACTGACCAATTCAAGGCAGGTTTATCTCCCCTCCTTGCTAAAAAAAGGTATTGTCTTATTAACATATCCAATTCTTTCTGCTAGTATAGGTCACCTACAGTCCAACAGCCCAAGATACAAATTCAACTTCATAGCAGATGTGGTGGAAAAGATCGCACCTGCAGTTGTTCACATTGAACTTTTCCTCAGGTAACACTTTCCATTCTTTTTGTTTTAGTTCCATTGTTTAACAAAGGTCTACAAAGTTTTTTCAATGTAGTAATTTTCCTTTTGAATTTGTGATGTTTACAAAATACTCTGAAACATTACAGCAGGCTCATTTATCCAGAGAACCACACATTTGTGTGTTTTGTTCCTATGCAGTAGATCTATTTTATTGGGTTTACAGTCTTTACAGTACTTTTCATACAGTCTACCCTGAAATAATTGTGTTTCATTGTTGAAATTTCATCATCTCTTCAGCCTTCACTACCATGTGTTGCTTGTTGTATTGTCATCTCAGTTTAAATAAAAAAAAATAATCCAGAAGGTAAGCTGGGAAAACATAGCTCTTTGTTGCTTATACTACTTTTAATGAGAGGTGATTTTATTTTGGCAGGGAGAGCAGTAGGAGGTAGAATGTTGACCAGATGTAACCTATCTAAACACAGAAATTACTTCTGATAGGGGAAAAAAAGTGCTAAATTTGCTGACTAGAACATACCAATATTCAGTGTACTGAAGCTGGAGCTGAGGTGGCAAGTTCAACACTGAGTGCTCAAAACAACCTGGGATGCAGGTTTAAATGAGAGTGCTAAAAACAACCTGCTGTCAGAACAAATTACTGCAAATATTACATGTACTCCATTACCTGAATGACTTTCTGCCTGGAGTACTCTGACTTTGCATAGGCCTAAGAATTGCTTGGAGAATTTTTATAGACTTTTTTAATATGCAAAATCAAGAAAATCATGTTTTTGGAGACATAGCTTTATGCACATGGTGACTGGTCTTTTGAAACAATGTTACACCTGTAGGTGTTTAAGACCTTTTCCTATGTAGTTAAGATTGTTTGTGCTTTTCCTGTAAGTAGATGTTTGTCCAGCACTAATCCTGGGCACTAATTGTGATATGTCTTCCTGGGATTGGCTCCGATTCTTTACTGCTGAATAGGCCAGAACTTTCCAACAATATCCTAATATGGACCACATCTTGGAAGAAAGAAGAATTTGTGGGCCTTTTTTTTATTTTCTACCCAGGCACTTTCTGTTCCGCCATCAAATCTGAGGCCATTACTGCAGTTGTTCAGAGAGAAAAGTCATAGTACTTTAGACAGTTTATAAAGTTTTTTTAAGTGTCTGTGTTGCAGAACATGTTGTTTCCCACCAGGTTCTACCCATTGCTAGTCTTTTTCATTTCTTTCTTTCACATTTCTAGTCCTCTTGTCCTCCAAAATAATTTTCCCTTTGGTTTGCTTTTTCCTGCCAGTCTACGCTTGGGCATCATGATCCTCTTATACCTCACTTCTTCCTTTTATGCCTTTGTCTAGCTGCAAGGTTCCTTCTTCTTCCTCTTTCCTTTTCCCAGTAGAGGATCAGTCCATTTGTCAGACCGATTATTTCCTGTCATTGTTTTCTTTTTCGTATAAAAACAGCAACTACTGGGATCAGATGGGCTCCTGCTTCTTTCTTTTGGTCACCTAGCCTCTGTGTAAGGAAGCCTATAGACAGAATTGGAAACCAAAGGAAAAGAACCCTGCTGGTTTTCTGTAAACCTCAGTTCCCATATCCCTGACTAACTAAAAGAAGTCACAATTTTCAGTAGAGGATACTTTTTTTGTAATTTTTTTTTTAATTTAATTTTTGTAAGGGTTGTAAAATTCACCATCAAATGCTTTGTTGTTTCTCAGGGTGACAGGTGTTAAATGAGGTCTAATGCAATCTTCTCTCGTGTTTCCCTTATGACATACAATTACTTGCTTTTTGTACAGGCACCCTCTCTTTGGTCGAAATGTCCCACTTTCCAGTGGATCTGGGTTTATTATGTCTGATTCTGGTTTAATTGTGACCAATGCCCACGTGGTGTCAAGCACCAATGCAATATCAGGGAGACAACAATTGAAAGTGCAGCTACAGGATGGAGATACCTATGAAGCAACCATCAAAGACATTGACAAGAAATCTGACATTGCAACAATAAAGATTCATCCTAAGGTGAGTGGCATAAAGAGATGAATGACTTCATTTGGCAACTCTATTTCAGGTTTGTTTAGTACAGAGCAATTGGCTGGAATATATGTTTAGGGATTGCCTGGAAACATATCTGTGGGAAACAATTTCCAGGCCTGGAAATTTTTCATATCTTAAAATTAAATTACTTTGTCTTCTATGCTAGAAACTGCTAAAAACTAAAAAAAAAAAAAAAAAAAAAAAAATAAAAAAAAATGCAGCTCATTTCATATGTGGCAAAATTCTGCTATCTTTACCTGAAGACCCAGGCTATTTTGGCTAATCCTTCTACCTTTGTGCCAATATGCAAGGACTGCAGGGTGGTGCATAGTGTAGAGAGAGAGGCAGGCTGATCAACAGCTGTTTTGTATGCTGTTTTTAGAAGGAGGAGGGAACAATCTGCTGAAAATGGGGAAATCTCTTTCAGAATCTTGATGGCTTTTTTTTCCTGAGTGAAATTGCAAGGAACTACTGCTAACTGTTTGTTTCTGAAGACAATTTAAAGCAGCAACACTCCTGGCATATGCTTTGGGTATATAATAGGGAGTGGCTCTTTCATTAATGTAGTGGAAAGTGTATGTTGCTAACTTGTTGCTAGTTTTTAGTCTTCCCAATTAGGTTATTTTCAAGTATAAACTAATGCATATTTCTTTCTTTCTGCATTCATTTAAGAAAAAACTACCAGTATTGTTACTGGGACAGTCTGCTGACCTGAGACCAGGAGAATTTGTGGTGGCAATTGGAAGTCCATTTGCCTTACAGAACACTGTGACAACAGGTATTGTCAGCACTGCTCAGCGAGATGGCAAAGAACTCGGCCTGCGGGACTCAGACATGGATTACATTCAGACAGATGCTATTATTAATGTAAGTACTAGGCATGTGATGAGTTTCCCTTTACATCCTTCCCCACCAATTCAGTATGGAAATGCCTACTTTGAAAGATGAATCCACTAAATAAAAGCAGCTTCGTTTAAAATCAGTGATAGACTCTTCTTTTTATAAGAGACTATGCAGTGTCTATAAGATGTGCTGTGAAAGGTATGACAAATAAAACTACCCTCTTTGAGGTTGTCTGTTGAGATATTGCATAGGACAGACCCTTCTCATTCTGTAGATCTTGTGCAGTAACACATGGTTGTATCAACCAACAGTAAATTAATACGTTTCTCTCTCTGCTTGCTGAGTTGCTCTGGCCAAGCAAGTTGTAGAACAGAGCCAAAGTTTCTTTCATCTCCATACATTAGAACCAGATGGAGTAATCAAATTGATACTATCTGCTTCAATTTAGTGACAGGACAACCAGGTAAGAACTTAATTAAAGGGCTGGGGTTTTCTTATTGCTATTCCTCTTTTCCCTCTGCACATCACATACTCCAAGTAAGAATCCAGATGTGAAATAACGTAAAGACTGAGATACAGTTTGGAATTAAGGGTCCTAGCACTGCATGTCATGTAGAAATTCATTAAAATAATGACCCTTCAGAGCAACCTGGAGGAATCCAGAGAGCTGAAGTGAAGTCCTTGGGTGTGTATTTGACTTGTGCTAATTCTAAGGAGAGCACTGCATGCACATCTGGGGTAGAAAATAGCCTGAAATGTTATAGTTTAAATCTGTTATACATTGAAAGGAAAATATTTTCAAGATATATTTGTTGGACTCAATCTCAAATTTGACATATCATAACACAGCATTTGACATTACAAAGTGCTTCGCAAATGGTTATTGTCACAGACTTGAGAGAAATTGTATAGGGGGATAAAAGAGTGCAATTATTTTTTTGTGCTAAGATATGACATAAAAGTGAACTTTTTCAAAAAACGTTGTATGATCCAGGAACTGAACCTCTTCAGACATTTAATTAGAATTACTCTCTTCAATTATTTAAGGAGACTAGGAAAACTTAGGCAAGATGGGTAACCTGGGAGCACACACTGAATTGGTGGCAGAGACAGAATTAGAACATGGAATTCTTGACTTCTTGATTATACACATTTTTCAAGCTCAGACTCCTTCCTAGTATGTATACTTAGGCATTCACTGCTCTCCAAAGCTAATGGGCAGGTTTAGTCAAGGATAGCAAAGTGTGTCAGCGCTAGACCAAAGGAAGAGTGTGATAGCAGAGGAGGTGAGGATAATGGCAATATGCTTGAATTGCTTTGCCATCTGAGACCACAAAATATGAAGATGGTCCCTGGCATAAGGATGCTTTGTGCTTAGCTAATACACTGGTTTTCTCTTGAGAATGGGAGGAGTTTGAGAGCTGGTCTATTCAGAGCATTCCTGTGGCTCAGCCAAGACTTTCCTGCAGGAATGTGCATGCAGCTGCCTTCTGCGAAATGCTGGGACAGCAGGAACATGGGGCAGGAGAAAATAGGGCCATATGTTCCTAGATGGAGCTATATTGTATGTGCTGTTCTTTCATTATCACATCCTTCAAGCAGAAGACAAGTGAATGAAAGATGATGTGCTGAGGAAGGCTGAAATTCATTATCTTGGTTCCTTTGTGTCATTCAGACGTAAAAATCAAGTGTACAGCCTCTGATCAGTGGAGAGGTACTATATAAGGAACCAATCTGTTTGTTTAAATTTGAAATTTGAAGCTATTTTATAAACTTTGTCTGGTTTATTTTCCTGAGAATCTATAAGATTTGCACAGGGCTATCTAAGCATAAACAGTTTGTGTCTCACATTGCTGTCATACATCACTTAGCTTTTGTTTCTTTTGACTGGTAAGTTGCTGCTCTTGGCTGTTCAGCAAACCTGCTTGAAAACTCTGGCCTCACTCAAAAACAAACTTGTTGAGCCAATGAAGATGGACAAGCAACTTCCCCAGCTCATTTCCTGTGGTCCTGTTGCATGTTTCCTTTGAAAGGCATTAGGTATTAGGCAATTTTGGGCTGCTCAGAGCCGCTACATGCCGTCCCCAGAGAGGGTTGCATATCTGTGGTTACTAAATCAATCCTTATGTACTAGCTACCTCATAGCAATATGCTGTGATTAAGTATGAAAAAACTGCATTCTTCTCCAGTGGAGAGTGAGAGACTGTCAGGGTTACAAACCAAAGTGATGAATAAAACTGTATGAGCATCTCACTGAAATATAACTTTAAATAACAATTAATTATTTCAAAACCTTGTTCTGACAGTTTCCAGAAGAATCAAAATACTAGTTTTTAGCTATTTAATAACTCTTCTTAAACTTATGGTCTAACTACTTGGAGTGGTAAGTTGTAGATCCTAACTCAAGGCCTGTTTATGAAATGAAAATAATTCTTATGATAAGAGCTGAGGAATGGGTGGGGTAAAACCTACCTGTAATCTTCTGTGATCAATATTGTGTCCATCAGTGCTGCATAAGAAATGACCTCCTCTCTTTAATTTACCTACAAACAAAATACTGTTGGAAATTAGAATTGCATTTCCTATAGTGAAGCACTAATTTATTGTTCCCTTATGTCATTTTTACAGTATGGAAACTCTGGAGGACCTCTAGTTAACCTGGTAAGTCCATGTGAATTGGTTTTGTTTGTTGCTTGGTTTGTTTAGTTTCAAGCTAGTTTGAAATAAGTGGGAGAATGTTCTTTTGGAGAGATTCATAGGTCATACCAGCTTCCATTTGCTCAAGCTAATGAAACCAGTGCAAACTACACAAATTAGGTCTCAGTTCATACACCATAGGAAAACATTTCCCCATAGACCAGAGGAAATTTTACACAGCAATGAGGAATATGGGATGTGGTATGAGCAGTTGTGCTCTTTCACACTGTGAAACCTGGGATGCACAACAAAGATGAGACCTAACCTGCACAACTATTTTAAAATAGATGCCTTTAAACCAGCACTGGTTTTGCAGGTCAGTGAACTGTGGCTGTAGTAGAGAGCACTCTTGCTGAGTGGTCCTTGGATGAACAAACTGTACTGTAATCTCTCTGGCCATCCCAGTTAAATGCAAAATGGGTAATGAATCAGAGCCCAGATCCTCCCTTACAAGTAATGTTTATTTCTGGAGTGATTACAACACTCCACAATTTCTTATGCAAGCTTTTAACGTGAAATGCTAGGCAGTGAGCTGAACCCTGTCACTTAAGAGCAAATTAATTGGGTGTTGTCTCTCAACAGGATGGTGAAGTTATTGGGATTAACACTTTGAAGGTCACAGCTGGAATTTCTTTTGCTATTCCTTCAGACCGTATCACTCAGTTTCTCACAGAGTCACAAGACAAGCAAAGTAAAGGTAAAGTCTGCAAGAAACAATGACATCTTCCAATTATCATCCTGATCCTGGTGAAGTGCCAGAAGACAGGGTTCTGGGATCCTATTCCTGAAAGGACCAGCATCATTTTACAGTATAGAGCACCACAGACTTGGAATTAGAAAACAATTTCACAGAGGTGGGAGAGACATTTTATTACTCAAACACCCAAGGAGCAGACAGTATCTGTATAAATCTGGGAAATAGGGCCTCTGAGGATAGTGGGGACACAGATGAGTCATTACTGTCTCAAATGATCTTGAGAACAGATGATGCCTTGATGAAGGAGTCTTCTTTTATTTTTTGTCCAAGGAAAAAGGAGATTAAGGTGTACTGTGGAGAATAAGGTGAAAACCTTTATAAACACCTGTCCACAGATGGAGTGTAGTGTGTGCCTTGTCAGTAAAACCCGATCTTTATTTTAACATGGTCATCTATGACAGTACTATATTATGATAGACTCTCAGACCCTGGTGCAAGAAGGGCTGTGTACTAATTTGTGAGGAAATACATGGGAAGATGGGAGAGAAACAGAAAAAAAAGAATGGCCTCTGCACCAAAGAGCATATAAATCTAAATATGCTGGCAACTGACAACTGCAGTACTCAGGACTTTTTTTATGTGCCTGCATTGTATCTGTCACCCTGTTCTAGGTGTCACAGTAAATGCTGCACAGCTGAAGCTGATCTAGTAATGCTGCATGCAGGCCAAATCTTGCTTAATCTTTTACTTGCCAATTTATCTGTCCACACCCTACTACTCATCTTTTATCATGAGTGTTGGCTGCTGCTTCTTCTCTTGAATCTTTTTGCTATTAATTTTGTCTTCTCCTGAGTTCATCCAGTTCCTGATGCCAGGGTTGTTTCCCCACACCATTCTCCTCTGTGTTCTTTCAGATTCTGTTATTTCAGAAACTTCCCTTAGTTAGAGGTTTTAAAGTTATGCATCTCCTTGTATATATGAGACCATCACAATTCTGATGAGTCCCCTCATCTGTGTTTTGCTTAATTCCACAAATTATGTTGTTTTCACTGTTGTTATTGGAGGTGTGATGAAAGAAGTTGTTAATTATGTGCTAAAAAGTACATTTCAAATTAGCTGACATAATTTGTTGGCCAACAAGTCAAAAGGCCTGTTTATTCACCCAGTTTACTAACTGATTGTTGGCTTCTGAAACAAACAGGTCTGTACCATTAGTGGTTACCCTTCAGAACCAAACTTCTCATCCTAAACCAGGGAGGAGCAGTGGCTCATCCTGCAGGAATGGCCTTAGAGGCACAAACACAAGCCTTGAGCAGAAAGCCCACCATCTACCAGTGGGTTCCTCGTAATGGGCTGGAAAGTCAGTGAAGGTTAGAGATACCACTGAAATCAACTATCTTGCTCCTTCAGGCACCTTTGCCTCTGCAAAATGATGTGCCTGCTGAACCCAGCTAAGGGCCCAGAGATAACTTTGCCTATGGAACCCCAAGAAAAAACATTGTGGAATATTCAAGTTTATATTGTGATTGTAACATACAGATTTTTAGGTTTGTTTTTTTTTAATCATTCACATTATCACCTAATCAAAAGGATTCACACTTTCTCTTAGTGTCAGTGAGACTGTCACTGCAATTTTAACATAGTGGGTTTTGTTATTTATTTATTTTGCTTCTCTGAATTACCTCTTGTACCTTTAGGCTACAGGCAGAACAGCTGTTTAAAAGTAATTTAAAATCAATGCATCTCTTGATGCATAGAGATATTTTCACCATATATTTGAGCCCTAGTTTGTAATTTTTAGGCCTTTACTAATAATTTTCAGGTTTATTGTATATTTGTTATTTCTTGGCATAATGAATTTGTGAAGAAGAATTTTTGGGATTTTCTTTATGTCTTGTTTTGCTCCAATTATATTACAGTAGTTTCACTGGAATCTTCCCTTATGGTACAGTTAAGTCATAGGAAGAAGCTTAAGGATATTACCATATTACTCTTAATACCATATTGCCTGAAGATGATAAAATTCCCTTAGGATACCCCTCTTTCCAGATTTACTCTGGAGATCAGATAATTATCAGTTTTATATAAAATATAACTAAATTCTTTAAAGTCCTATCCATTGTACATTTCTGTAAATATCTGATCTACTAAAGTACAGAAGCAGAGAGGGGGGAAAGGAGAGGATGGCATTTGAATGAAATATTTGCCCTGACTATTGTTATCTAAACATTTGATATTACCTAATGCATCTGTAATACATAATAATACCTAATGTATTTTCTACCAAAGATTTACCACACTGCATAGAGATTTTGTCTGTTGAATGTTCTGAAAGCCTGTACTAATTTTGAGTTTATCCTCCTTTCATAGTTAGGAATTTCTAAACTAGTGCATGAAGTGTGTCCATCTATATCTCAGTTGTAACCAGCTGTGTACTCTGTCTTTACCTCTGGAAGTCATTTATCCTTAAGCATTGACTGATTCTTTTACTCCAGTGTCTTTTGTTAGTATCCTGTAAAAATTTCTTACTTTCAGTTTTGGCTCTATCATCTATTCCTAGTTTAGACTTGAGCAAAACAGTAAAACTAGAAAGTGTTTAAACTTGTATCATTTAGAATGGAAGAGAATAAGTTAGGAACTTGACAAAATATTAAAAAGAAAATTCAGCCCAAGAGGTCAACCTGGCCTCTTATATTATGTTTGCAGAAAAAGAATAAACCTTGTTTCAGATGGGCAAGGAGAAATGGGGGAGTTCTGCATTGGCCACCTCCAACAAATCGTTTCTGTGAATCCTCATTTACATCCTCAGGACACTGTTAGTTGTGATTGAACTATATGCTTATCTGTGTATTTGGATGATTATTACTGATAACTATTACCAATAATCACAGGGGCTGCTTAGGAGGCTTGCTGAATATAGATTCAGACTACTGATTAAATTCAACCGTACAGTTCTTATAAAAGGCATACTGCACACAGTTCACGTTATAGACTTGAGCTGTCCTCGGTTTCTGTTTGGCAGTGGAGTATCTTACATGCTTTCAGGACTGCTCATGCAATCTGCAAGATGAGCTTCAAGTGCAAAAGTAAAGAGCAGAGAAACAGGAGTTTTACATGCCACTTGAATAAAAAGCACAGGATCCGTTTCTTCACTTATAAATCTTGGTGAAATCTTGGTGCCGCTGAAATCAACTGCAAGGAGGATACTCCTGTGCCAGAGTTACTCTTGCCCATAAGAGTTTGAGTAGATGACCCCTTAGTTTGGATTTATCAGTTCTTTTTGCCATGGTTTATAAGCCATAAACGCTCTTGCCTTCAGCTGGTGTTTATCTGTCAGGTTTGTATCTCTACTGTTACAAGATCAATAAATAAAGTTTAACAGTAAAACAAATGCTTTCCATACTGTGGAACAAATCTCTGTAAACAGTGAACCAGCTCTAGATACTTGGGGTTAGCTGCTTGTGACTTTCTATTAACACAAAACAGATTTACATTTAAACTAGTGGTTGAGGTTGGTTTGCTTGACTTTTTACCTTTGGAACTGGTATTTAATCTGGCCTGGTGTTTACAAAATTAAATGAGATTTGAGTATCTCTCTCTGCTGTGCTCTGCTCCAACTTTAAGCCACAATGGTTTCGCATTTGCTCAACCTGATTTTTCTAACATACAAACCTTCTTTTAACTACTGCTGGGACTACACACTTGTGATGTACTTCTTAGTACATCAGTTGTAAAACCTCACTTTATTCCCGTTCTCCTAATTATTTTTCATTCTGCCTCATGATTGCTGCTAAAGTAACTCATAGCTCACAGATGTTAGTTTTACTTTGTGCAACTGCTACTTGCAGTGTGGTAAACTTAGTGCAGAGAGAGGACAGAAGGCCTTTTTGAATTTTAACGCATGAACAGGGGTGAAATAATACCCAAAAGATGAAGATAGAATGAGACTTTTAGTTTTGAAATCTTTAGTTACTAGATTTATTTTTTTTCCCTAAAACCTTATGTTTACATGTATCATTAGGCACTGGAGAAATAATTCCCTTTGACTCAGCAGCATTTCTGCTGTAGTTTTTCATTCTTGCTGGTTTGTTTGTTCCAAATTAATTTCCTTTGTCCCTTCTTTCATTTTTCATTTTTCTTTCACGGGAACATTCCTATCTCAGCCCCCAGAGTATCCTTTGTGCTTCTGCGTGTTTCTGTATAACAGAGGCAATGACCAACAGCAATTTGTTTAATGCAGAGAACTGTCATTAGAGAGTCTGTCACTGATGTGCCTTTTGAAGGGCACATTTAATTATCATCATTTAACTATCCACATAGCAGGGGCCAGGGGATTATCTTCAGATGGGATAATTATCACGTTTGGATATTTTTAAAAAGTGAAAACTTATATGTATGCCATGCAGACTAGAGAAGCAGTATGAGCTAGTTCATGGCCCTCTTGAGACTTTGATTTTGAGTAACTGGACTTCATGACACTCTCACAATAGCTGATTTGGATCTTAATAGTTTCAGTTCAAAATAGAAAGGAGACAGAACATTTCAGAGGAAAGCAGGGATGACAGTTACAGATGTAAGATTGTGTAGAGTGTAGTAAATCCAGTGTTTAGTAGTCAACATTTTCAGTGATCCTGATGGGAATATTGGACATGCATAAGATTCAGAACTAGTTCCTTTACTTAGGAGTATTTTTCTTGGAAAGAATAAGAGTTGGAGGAGTCCATGTACATCATCTTTTTCCTCACATGAAAACCTGGAGAAACTCAAAGATCTTGTGAAGTACTTGTGCTGGAACAAGTAAGGGGAAATATTGTTTCATACCGGATGTAACTAAGTACTGGAGCACTCATTTCAGGAAGTCATAAGTAAAAAAATGCATTTTTTTTTATAGGACAGCTGTGCAATATTATGACTACTAAAAGCCAACTACAGAAATGTGGTGTTCTGCCTAAAGGAGTGAGTTTTCACCATTTAAAATTAGAGTCCTGGCTAATTATAGAATAGTTTGTATTGGAAGGGACTTTTAAAGGTCATCCAGTCCAACCCCCCTGTAATGGTCAGCGATGCCTTTAGCTAGATCAGGTTGCTTAGAGCCCCATCCAGCCTGACCCTGAATGTTTGCAGAGTGGGACATCTACCACTTCTCTGGGCAACGTTCCATTGTTTTACCACGCTCATCATAAAAAATTTCTTCCTTATATCTAGCCTCTGTCTCCCCGCTTTTAATTTAAAATCATTATTCCTCATCCTGTCACAAGGGGCCCTGTAAAATGTTTGTCCCCATCTCATATAAGTCCCCTCTAAGTACTGGAAGGCCTCAATAAGGTATCTCTGGAACCTTCTCTTCTCCAGGCTGATCAGTGCCAACTCTTTCATCCATTCCTCAAAGCCGAGGTGCTCCAGCCCTCCAAGCATTTTTGTGATCATTTTGGCTAAGATCTACGTGTTGGGTTTTTTTAATCTTGCTTTTCGTTCTTTGGGGTGAGAATAGCAAGCCATTTGCGTTACAATCAGTGTGAGTCTTTAGGTTGTCCTGTCTCAGAAAGGTGGGAATTTAAATTTCTTTAAATCTCATTTCTGCATTTTAATGAGAACAGCATATGATTAAATTGTCTTGACAAGTTTCAGATTAAATGGTGGTAGGTTATGAAATTTTCCGTTTGCTGAAAGCATGTGATACTAGATCACAGAAATTTCCTGAATTTCTTGAACGAAAAATTCTCACAGAGTGTAAAGACATTTCTCTTACCTTCACTTCCAGGGAGAGGGATTGTCATTCTGTACACCAAGGCTAACCAGAGTTTAAAAAGTAACCTCGGTGTAGATGCTTATGATTTTGTTTAGCTTTGTTAAGCTGATACATCCTGTTTTAATTTTCAGATATTTTAGGTCATCAGAGTAGTTATTTTTGCCAGTGTTTGGCTAAATTTCTTAAATATCCTCTGTGTTACTTTCAGATGGGAAGAAACGTTTCATTGGCATCAGAATGCTGACAATAACACCTGCGTAAGTATCTTAAAATGTATGATCATGCATACAAGATGTGGTCAGTAGTGGCTCAGAACTTCATTCAGCTTTCATTACAAATCTCCAGAGAATCCAGAAGTGGTCATTAGTTTCTAGGAAGTCTGCAAATGTTTTAATGATGTTGGTGAAATCTGTGTTCTGAGACTTGAAAATTGTGTAAATGCTGATAGTGGTGGATGCCATGTTCATAGCTGAGGGAAATTAGGAAGAGCCTGAACACAGATTTTGGCTCATGATGAGGAGGTCTGGAGTTATACCAGGTTTTAGGTGACATTTAAACAAGCTGCTGCTTTCAGGTGACTGTGAGTACCAATGACAGATCAGCTGACAGGGGGATAGTTTGGGTTTAGTTTTATCAGTGAAGGCCATGTGATGTAAGATTTGGTGCCTAACCATTAGCAACTACTTTCTCCAGTTAAAATGCTGAACTAAAGCTCCACGCCTCCATGTTAACAAAGCCAGAATATGGACACCCTCCTCCACTTCTTTACTGTCTGTTGTCTCTCACGGTGCTTTGAGCCTTGCCATTACCCAGATATATTCTGGGATAACAAACAAGGGCTCTTATGCTGGTGTTCTTTCCCAGCAGTAGGCACATTTCCAGTGTGGCAGTTGACTATGAAATTAAACAAGACAATTTCCAGCTGGGTTTGCAGTGAAGCCATTTTTGTTTATCGGGTTACACTCTTGCAGTCTTCCCTGAAGGGTCAGATCCTCAGCTGGAATGAATCAGTGTAATGGCATGAACATCATGGAAGGAAACTCAGAATGTTCCTTTGAGTAATTGTGAAGTGAACACTGTGAGATTTTACGGCTTTTTTGGCGTGTAATGAAGCCGTGTAAGGTGTCTGCAGGCCTTTTTCTCAGAAAAAGACTACTTCCCTTTGTGTGTTTGCTTTAGTCGTTTAATTGTTAGCTTCCTGAGTACAGTCAAGTGAAGAGGAATCTTTGCAGCCATTTTAGTTTGCTTTCCATCTTGAGGACCCCAGTTTTTCATGGCAGACAGCAGAGTAATCCATCCTTGATCTAAACCCTTTTGTTTTTAGAAATGGGTTTTAACCCACGCTGTACACAGACCTGAAATGATGTCATCAACTCTGAAATGAGGGGATGTTTGTAGAGCCTTTATTTTGCAGCCGGTTCCTGTCTTCTTTCATTAGAAAGGGATGCACAAACAATTCCTGAAGAAAACTTGAGGAAACTGAAGTTTCCTTGGAAAACTTTCCTAGTTCTGATCTATCTGATGGCTGAAATTATCAAAAGTTCTGTTGTTCTAGATAAAGACAAATTAGGAACAACTTGCAAAATAAAAGAAGCAAAATAGTTAGCAAATTTCTGCCCCATCACCAGCCTTAACTCTTTGGGCAGAAATGTCTTTTCTGCCTGTACACACCTAGAACAGGGAGTGCTCCTGTCCTTCTGCTCATGTACAGGGCCCTCTGTGCTACTGCTACAGAGAGCAAAAGTCAGATTGTTACAGAAGATGTATGAGACCATTAAGTAGTTTTGATTCTCTCAAAATCTATGTAACTTGTTTAAATCCAAATTCAAATGCCCTACATTTTCATCACAGAACAAGGGGCAAACAGTTAATTGTTAAGTCTTTCCTCTTTTATCACAAAAAATTTAAGAATAAATAAATAAAAGTGTTTGAATGCTTCTTCTTGTGTGGCGTAATCAGTGACGTTTTCTTCTTTTAGCTTGGTGGAAGAACTGAAGCACAACAATGCTGATTTTCCTGATGTCAGAAGTGGAATTTATGTACACGAAGTTGTTCCAAACTCACCTTCTCATAGGTATGTAGAGCACATTATTTTCTTCACCATGTTTATATCTACAAATAGATACGAATAAGGTAGTATTTCTATTTATATTTAAGCAATTTCTCATACCAGTCTTGATCTGTATTTAAACAATTAAAAATTGTGCCTTTAGGTTTAAAATATTTGTGCTAAGATTCTACTCACATCTACAAAAGTGAAATATTTCAATATCAGAGCTGTTTAAATCATGGAATTGTTTAGATTGGAAATGACCCTTAAGATCATTAAGTCCAACTGTTAATGCAACACTGTCAAGGCCACCACTCATGTCCCTAATGCCACATCTACACCTCTTTAAATACCTCCAGGGGTGGTGACTCAAGCACTTCCCTGCTCAATCTCTTCCAGTGCTTGAAAACCCTTTCCGTGAAGAAATATTTCCTAATATCCAATCCAAACCTCCCCTGGTGCAACTTGAGGCACCCCAAATACCATGGACAAATTTTATTTTTGTAAGGTATACTGAATATTAATAAATAGAAATTTGGATTAAGTTTAAACAGGAGACAGGATAACATTCACATAAGACTGACAGAGCTGTTATCTGAGATAATGCTTCATCTTAGAGGAAGAGACTATTTGACAGAACAGTTGCAAAATAAATAAAATGTATCTAAAAATTATTTTAGGAAGTATTAAAAAGATGAAAAAGTAACGAAAGAAACTATTCTGGATTACATTTGAACAGCAAGAGAGAAATAATTTGCCAGTACTTCAGCTGATGCACTCTACTTGTCTTGAAATTTTGAGAGGAGTTTAATTTCCAATGGTTGAAATAAATACTGGAGACATAAAAGCATGATCTTGTAAATGGATGAAGTGAGTCAATCATGGATGAAAGTATTTTCTGTTTCTCCTTTGCTGTAGTTTTGTGGAAGTCAAAGAGAAAGTTAGACTCATAGTTTTTGCTGTTTTAAAAGGAAATCCTCAATGAAAAAACCCAAACCTGATTTTGCATTTAGCAAGTACTACTCGTTACTCTTTTGCAGTCAAAAGGGTAGGATTTCCCTTCAATGGAAACAAAAACAAGTGACAATTTATCACATCAGCAGAAGAGGTGGTGAATAGCTTTTATACTTTTTCTCTACGTAGAATGCATACTTACTGTCTCTTTCTTCTTGTCTTCGCAGAGGAGGGATCCAGGATGGAGATATTATTGTGAAAGTCAATGGGCGTCCTTTGATGACCTCCAGTGACCTGCAAGAGGCTGTGATGAATGAATCACCTCTACTACTTGAAGTTCGACGAGGAAATGATGACTTGCTGTTTAACATTGAGCCTGAAGTTGTCATGTAAATAGAATTGAGGAAGCTCTCACCATAATTAAACTCACGTATTCTGGAACACTAGATACCTCCTTTACAGCTACAGTAATTATACTTCTGTTGACTAATGACAAGGTGGACTTACTTAATTGCCTGAGCCATTTCTGTACATAGTAGCTAGAATGACTTAAGCGATGCCTTTTATAGAAGATTTAAATTTCAAAGAATCTTAAGAACTGTCTTCTGGGGAGGAGGAGAAAACCAAATTTTGGATAGCTGGTAGAAATGGGGCCCACTTCCAGTTCCTTCAGGTTCAGAGCAGGTTCAGTTCTGCATTTTGAAAGACCAAAATACTACTGGAAGTGAGGAAGCACAAGAAAGGGAAAATTATTCTAAAACTACAGTCATGGCTGCAGCAGACCCAAGCTATTGCAATGCATAATTGAGCTAATTTTTTTTCTATGTAACTTTTTCAATGTGAACCTATTACTGGCAAAGCTTGTATTTGTTCTTAGTGCTTCTGTGCTCCATGTCAATGCAGGTAGATTAAATCTGTAAATATCGAAAGGAACAAAAATGGTATCAGGCTATAGAGTGTTACACCTAGGTCATGCGATTTTGGGATATAGTAAATGATTCTTATAGAATTAATGCCTTATTATATATAAATCAAAACGATGTGCTGAACAAAGTTAAGTTTGAGAAAGTGCACAGTTTTTTAAGAATTTGATACAAACTACTTTTGCATTTTACTGGTAAGCTTTGCTGTAAAGTTGTTACACTACTTTTGGCTTGGACTGTGTATGTTTCTACTGTAAGGAGATTAAAGTTTACACAAATATTGTATTGGTGCAAACCTCTTTTTAAACAAGTCAGTCTTTCCTGTCTCTTCTGTCTGACTGGAATAGATTCTCCCAAGAGAACATTTTCTCGCAGAAAATTGGGTCCTGATGTTGTGACAACCCTTTGCATCCTGTGATATAATTATGCTGCCCTTATTTAGACTATGTTTAGAAATGCTTTGCACACAAGTCATTTATTTACACGTTTTTCCATATTTATGAATTGTGCTTTGATGTCACTTAGAGAGTATCTAGCTGGGATGCTGTTGTCCTCAGTTCTGCCTGTACGTGACAAGAAGCAGAGAGGAAGAACTATAGAGCATGTGAGACTTTTGTGTAATAAACCCAGGGGAGAAATTGCTAAGAGATACATCCAAATCTCCTAGGTACTCTAAACCAAACAATTCTATTCTTCCTTACTGAATATTGCTACAGTTCCCCTAGAGGCAGAAGAGCATTTCTTTCTGGAGCGTTTTCTACAGCAAGTTGTGCTTTTGTGCTTTCTACATTTGGGTCTAGTGTCTTTGTTATGCTCTGCTGCCCCAAATATTAATTCCTTTTTACATCAAGAACCTTCCCTTTTGGTTGCCATCATGTCTAGACTTTCTGGTTCTACCAACTGACTTGTGTGTAACCAGCCTTGCCTCTTTGGGTTTCTATGACATACAGAAAAGAGCAATCTGTTCATTCCTTTGCTGGCTGACTCTTGACTGCAATGATGCAGTTCAAAGGTTGATGGGGTATCATCCTTTTAAAAATGAATAGTGTTTCTATCCATCACATTATTGCCTGTGCCTGTACTAATGGCATCACCCCTTGCTGTCACTAAACAAAGAGCTGTTTTCACCCCTTAGGTGCTTAGTTTTACCTGTTGAATATTCCAACTCCTTTCTGTTAGTATACAACCTCAGCATCCAGGCTTGCAAAAACCATACACATGTTCTGAACTTAGGATAGCTGTAGCATGCAGATGGATCCTGTCATGGCTAAAGTCAAGCCTAACCATCCATGTGTGCCATGCTAGTACCGACATTTTACAGCTTGTGAGAGGTGTTTGTTTGTGACCATTGAGTAATAGTAAAGAAATTATAGTATTTCTGAGTTTATTGCTAATTTTTCAGATTCTGGCCAAGAAATTGTTTGGTAGGAAGACCCACAGGGTGATCAGCTTCTTTTATTGTAAGAGAAACTTTTTGTCTTCCAGATAACACATTGCTGATTTTGAAATAAATTGCATAACAACTTTTATTACAGCAAGACTAGATAGAGACTAGAAGTGACATAGTATAAAAATTGAATACACTGTTGTTGGTGCTGGCTAAGTGCCTTGGCCTTTTAATCAGGTCAGTGTGTGGGGAGAAAGGCTGTTTCCTTACTCAACAAAAAATGTTGCATTCTACCAGCAGTTCCTGCTTTTTCTAAGCTGTCTCCAAAAACCTTGTGGAGCTCACACATCACATCTAATGCTCTGCAAGTGCCATTGCATTGTAGCAAGATTTCTCTCTGAGGTAACGAAGGTCAGATGAGGTTCTTTTAAAAAGAAAGCATTGTCATTCCCTTTGGCTGCAAGAGCATCTGTATCATTTGATCTGTGGTGTGACCCTCGTCTGCTGAGACATGAGTAGACTTTATTAATTGCCACTTGTGCCCCTGACATCAGCCAGAACTGCAAAGGGTAATTACTCAAAGATAGAGTCAGCACCTACCGATGCCAGCAGTTAGCGGTAAGTTTATGACCCAACTTTGATATTTCTGTTTCTTGGCTAAAAGAAGGTAAGATGGCAGTCAGTGTCCCTTTAAAACAAAATGTTCTGGCAGCCTTTCTGTTGTAAGCAGTTACTGGCTGTGTCTCTCAGGAGGAAAAAAAAAAAAAGGAAAAAAAGTATTATTTTCATCCCTCAAAGGAACTGGACTGGCAGCTACAACTTTTCCAAGTCAAAGTTGGGTCATTGACCTCGTTACTTCTGCTAGGCCTAATCAGCAAAATAAGGAATGAGAGAGAGAGAGAGACACACCAGTGGCAATACAACAGATATGAGTATTTCAGGATGCTTCTATACTGCAACCCAGCAAGATCTGCAGTGGGAGCTGCACAGCCCTACCAGCCAACTCTAACCCCTGTGGGTGAGCTCCCTCTCACCTGTCCTGCTCATCTGTGCCTGCAGTGGGGCTGAGAAAGTTAAGGACAACTTCTCAGGCTCAATGTTCAGTACGAAAAAGGAGTGAGAACACACCATGCACAATAAAGTACCATTCATAAACAGAGATTGTACCTGTTAGGGAGACAAGGTACAGGTGAGACAGAAAGCAAGAAAACAGCACAGAATAAGAAAATAATATCCTTAGGAAAAAAAAAAAAAGGGGTTAGGTCAGTTGCTTTCTTTCCTATAACTGAATGGGCATGACACTGGGCCAGACTGCTGTGCAGCTGTCAGGTACTTGCAGACCCCTTTCTGCAAGAGATGGCATCTTATAACTCTACCCTCAGAGCAGTATAAGATGGGTAACGTCCCAAAACAGCAGTGATTCTCCCCAAGAAGAACCAGTAATGGAGAGAGAGCCTTTAGACTGTAGTCAGTGTGGCACATACCTTGTCATCTCCCCTGGGCCCCACATAGCAGCTCCTGTGGCTGATTGATTGTGACTCTCTGTTCCCCAGTATTTGAGTGCTCTAACACATTTTTACCTCTGATATCAGTTAAAAAATATCACTTGAAAGAGAGAGGCACTTTCTACTTGCAAGCAAGGAAAAACAAGGGAATTCCTTTATAGGGTATCCTGTACCTCTCAAGGAAGTGGACATGAAATGAGGTGTGTGAATCTCAGAGCTTGCCAAGGCTCATACTTTTACACTTGCTCGTGTGCAAGCTGGTGATTTGCAGGCTATGGCTGCTGGGTTGTCCAGAGCGTTCTTATGGTCTAGCAGTTTTAGCTGCTGCAGCTCCAGTCGAGCTCTTAAAAGTTTTGAAAAGGCAGCAGAAATAGAAGTTGCTGGGGAACCTCAGTGGTCACACAGAAAATGAATGCATGGCAGCTCTTCTGCGCAACCTGCTCTCTGCTTGCTGTTCTGTATGTTCTGCACAACCACACAGCAGCCAGCAGTCCCATCCTTTCTGCACATCTTCTGGAACTGCCTCTGCACCAGCTATTCCATGAAAAGCTCTTCCCCACAGCATCTGCTGTAGGGGTTATTATTAATGCACCTCTGCATTTTGCCCTCAGCAGCAGCTGCTCTTTTTGCTCTTCTCCTATGGCTTTGCACCAGCTATTTCATACCACCATATATCCCAGACAGCGGTCTTACACTCTTTTAAGTTTGTTTTGACTACTTGTTTCTTGCTTGAGGCTTTGTTGGTTTAGCAGAAATCAGGAAGAAGGAGGAATTTATTTTTTTTTGTTTCCCAAGCTCTGAAGTCTGGAGTGCTCTGCTGAGCATTTCAAGTCCATAGCAAAATACTAGGGCAGTGGGTTGACGAAAAGTTTATTTAACCACAAGACACTGCAGTTTATAGAAGGTGATGCTGCCTGTTTAGACACCACCAGCCAGGAACTGGTGTTCAAAGACATATAAGGCTGAGGGCTTACCCCAAAGTGGGTGTGTATGGACAGTATTGGTATGCTTTCTGCACCCACATACAGGACTGAAGTCTGAGGATTGCTTTGAAGTAGGAAGAAGACTTAACAAGGGAAGGGAAAGGGAGTTTAGCATGTTTTTTTTTATTTTATTCCTCTTATTTACTTGGCTTTCTGTAATCTTCATTTAAGTGGACATGCCCAGGGAAAGCCTCCAGGTCTGTGTTTATTCTGATCCTTATTCCCACAGTAGCAGATTATTTTTGTGACTTTGGTGTTCTGCAAATAATAGATTTGGTCTTTTATCCAGGCTTTCCCAGCTAGTGTCAGCACAACAGCTTGATGGAGCTTTGCTGTAGAACTTTCCAGGTAGATACCATGGGCTGTAAAACAAGGCAGAAAGAAAAACCACTGCCAGTTAAGGCAGAACTGCTTAGAAGACCTTGCTGGCTGGTCCAATTCTCTGTCTTCTACCAAACATTACAGACAATGTTATATTTAATTTTTCTACTCAAAAATGGACAACATTATATTCACTAGCAGTGAACTAATGCTTGGGGAGAACAGAGCATGGGTACAGGAGAGGAACTTCAGGCTGCACCAGTCACAAACAAAAAAAAAAAAAGGAGGAAAAATATATTTTTTTTTTCTCTTTTGATTTTTATCCTCTGGGAAGAAAGGTCAGACAGTGCAGGTCTGCCACTCATCCTCCCTTCTTTTTGCCTTCCCTCTCTGTCAGAAGGCTCCCCCAGAAACTGTGAGAATATGTCAATATTCAGCAGCATTTTCCCTATAAAGATCTCTGGAGAATAACAGAAGCAACTGCTTGCTCTTTCTTTCTTCAACAAACACTGGCCAGGCCTTCACAAACAGCCAACTGAGGCATAGTCAGGAAAAAACAAGTTCTTAAAGGAAGCAGTCGCCAAGGAAAATAATTGGGCAGCATGAGGGCTTTGGTGACGCAGCTGCACAGCTGCGAAGTTCAATGACTTCTCAATTGCCTCCATCTGAAGTTGTGCTCCATTATGAAATGATCTTCTACCTCTGTTACTATAAATAGCTGGGCATGATGATTTGCTGCTTGAAATCTCAGGAGCAGCTTGGGAAAAAACAAAACCAAACCTTAACAACTAACCCAACACACAACAAGAAAACAAAAAGCCTTCAAGTTTCTTCTCAGTAAGATGATAAATGTCAAAGAGAGACTGAAGCTAGAGAGTATGGTGCTAATGCTTTTGAAGATGATTTTCTAACATCTCTTGGTCAAGAGGATGTGCAGCACTACAACAGTAGCGCCATCTGCTCTGTTCTTCTGTGGGAAGAAGTTCCCCTCAGGGTTGGTGTCATGTAGATTGCTGATCATTTAATCTAAGCTATGTGGCCAGATGTTCCTTACCATCAGGGGAAAGAAACAGTAGCTTTTCTCTTCTC